CGGAAAAACCGATAATTCTAGCTGCTGATGCGTCTCAACATGGAATAGGATCAGTTATCTCTCATATCATTAACAACGAGGAAAAACCGATTGGATACGCGTCTCGAACATTAAATGCTGCCGAACGAAATTACAGTCAGATAGAGAGTAAGGCTTTAGCAATTATATTTGGATTAATTAAATTTAAACCATATTTAATTGGCAGACATTTCATTATCATTACTGACCATAAACCCCTAATATCGTTACTTAATCCACATAAAAGAATAACAGATATGTCATCAAGATTAGTAAGATGGTCATTACTACTAGCAAATTATGATTATGAATTGCAACTTCGAGGGACGAAAAAAAATAGTAATGCGGATATGCTTTCCCGGTTTCCAATTGACGGTAAATCATCTGCTTGGGAAGAGTTAGATATTAATTTAATAGTATCGGATGCTCCACAATTTATTTCAGCGTTAGATATAAAAACACACACAAGAAATGACCCGGTATTATCAAAAGTTTCACGTTACCTTACAACTGGATGGCCAAAGATAATAGAGGAAAATCAAAAACCGTTTTTCCAGCGCCGAAATGAACTCACGATGGAGGCAGGGTGTATATTATGGGGATTAAGAACCATAATTCCAAAAAAATTACAAGTAAATATTTTGTCTTTTTTACATATGGGGCATCAGGGTTATACTAAAACAAAATTATTGGCACAAGAGAACGTTTGGTGGCCGAATATTAACGAAGATATCGAATTACACGGTAAGAATTGTGAATTATGTCAAACAAATAATCCTGGCAAAACGATCATAGGGAAATGGCCCTCCGCAAATAAACCATGGGGAAGAATTCATTTAGATTTTGCCGGACCAATTAACGGAGATATATATCTCGTAATAATAGATAGTTTTAGTAAATGGCCTAAAATACAAAAAATGACGACGAATAATTTTACTGAAGTAAGAAAATTGTTGTTAAGACTTTTTGCAATTTTCGGTTACCCCAATACGATTGTTACGGATAATGGCCCCCCATTTCAAAGTAGAGAATTTAGTTTATTTTGCAAACAATTATCAATTAAAAATGTATATAGTGTCACATACCACCCTAGAACCAACGGAGAAGCCGAGCGATTAGTACAAACTTTTAAAAAAATTTTAAAAAAACATAATGATTATAATAAAATACAAGATTTTTTGTTTAAATATCGAAATACGCCACAAATAACCACAAAACAATCACCAAGTTCAATTATGCTTAAATTTCAACCCATAGGACCTTTACAATTAATAAAACCAATTTATCCTCATCCATATATACCTCAGTTACCAGGTTTTTTTAATATAAATGAAAAAATATATGCAAAAGATTTTTAAAAAAATAATTGGATACCAGGTATCATCGTTAAAAGAACAGGACCAATGACGTTTTTAGTTGAAACTAAATTAGGGGTATGGAGAAGACATATTAATCAGTTAAAACATAGGTTCGACAACTCCGATTTAAAAAATAGTGAGGAGGGAAGAGAAGAAGAAACGATGCAAACTACACCACAAATAAATAAAAATGATCATATACAAAATTCGATAGCAAAAGACATAGATCCTATACACGAATTGGTGACCAAAGACATGGACCCAATACAAGACTCAATAAACAAAGACACCATCATAAATGATAAGATGAAAATCGACAGTAATGAGCAAACGGTGGTAGAGAACGAAAGTACAAGCAGCCGTTATCCAAAACGGATAAGAAAACAATTTATACCGTTTCAAATCGAGAGCCCAAAAAAGGAGAGAATAGATGTAATAAAAACAATTAGCCTCAAAGGCAATTAAATATATGATGAATTTAAAATATATATATTATTAATTGTGTACGACGATTAATTGTATGTTTTGTAAAATATATATATACTGCGATACAAAAGGTAAAAATTGTTAAATTTATAATAAAAATTGATTTCATCAGAAACGTGTTAAGACATTAAAACATCTCTTCTATTCAGTTCGAATGCCATAGCCTACGATCAAGGCATTCAACAGGAGGGGGCACTTGAACCTCTTTTATTTTGCCTTATAATATCGTCCATGATATTAAATCTCAATTTGGACCTAAGTATTTGGCACCTTGACTATAGAACTATCTGGGGTCCTCTACCTAAAATAATCGTATTTTAAATTTTCTTGAAGCCACTTCTAAAAATGTAGGACTCATCTTTAAGGTCCAAGACGGAAATTTGTTCCTCGATAATACTTCCATTAATTTAACGATCTTAATAATTGTCGAACAATAGCCTATCAATTAAGCTCACCTTTAAAATTTATTTTAATAATGATTTATAATATGTATCAAAATCTAAATCAATCAAAAATTAACTTTTATTTAAACGGACACCCATTTTTATTTGAAAAAACAAAAAAAATGCTTAAAATAACAATATCTAAATGATAATAAAAATTTCTAGAAACGTGTTAAGACATTAAAACATCTCTTCTATTCAGTTCGAATGCCATAGCCTACGATCAAGGCATTCAACAGGAGGGGGCACTTGAACCTTTTTTATTTTGCCTTATAATATCGTCCATGATATTAAATCTTAATTTGGACCTAAGTATTTGGCACCTTTACTATAGAACTATCTGGGGTCCTCTACCTAAAATAATCGTATTTTAAATTTTCTTGAAGCCACTTCTAAAAATGTAGGACTCATCTTTAAGGTCCAAGACGGAAATTTGTTTCTCGATAATACCTCCATTAATTTACCGATCTAAATAATTGTCGAACAATAGCCTATCAATTAAGCTCACCTTTAGCCAATAAAATTTATTTTAATAAAGAATTATAATATGTATCAAAATCTAAATCAATCAAAAATTAACTTTCATTTAAACGGTCACCCATTTTTATTTGAAAAAACAAAAAAAATGCTTAAAATAACAATATCTAGATGATAATCCTCAAAAAATGATTAATTTTTGATTGATTTAGATTTTGATACATATTATAATTCATTATTAAAATAAATTTTAATGGCTAATGGTGAGCTTAATTGATAGGCTATTGTTCGACAATTATTTAGATCGGTAAATTAATGGAGGTATTATCGAGGAACAAATTTCCGTCTTAGACCTTAAAGATGAGTCCTACATTTTTAGAATTGACTTCAAGAAAATTTAAAATACGATTATTTAAGGTAGAGCACCCCAGATATTTAAATAGTCAAGATGCCAAATACTTAGGTCCAAATTGAGATTAAATATCATGGACGATATTATAAGGCAAAATAAAAGAGGTTCAAGTGCCCCCCCCTCCCTGTTGAATGCCTTGATCGTAGGCTATGCCATTCGAACTAAATAGAAGAGATGTTTTAATGTCTTAACACGTTTCTAGAAATTTTAAATAATCTGATAAAAACAATTTAAGAAAAGTTTATAAAATAGGGTAATGAAGGCGTAAAATCTAATTTGATTATAGTTATAATAAATGGGGGATTTTGGATATATATAAGAATGCACTCCACCATTTACTTAGAGTTAAGCTCGCTCAGTTTTGATCTTTATACAAATTTATACATTTTTAATAGAATTATTCTTATTTCTGTATTTATGATAACATAAGATTAAAATTATATAGAGCTACTATATAAAAAATAATAAATACTGAACTTTTATGAACCTTATTAAATATTTTTAAACTTGAACTTTTAAAAAATTCCTTAACCTGAACCAAACCTAAGCCTTAATAATTTTATCTTATTGAAACTATAACTAAACAGAATATTAACAGGCGACACTCTGATTTGAATATCTTAATAAAATAAAATAGTTTTTTTAAATTAGTTAGGTTGCCAAAACCTGTTTGAAAAATTTTAAAACTTTAAGGAAACCTAATGATAAGGTTTTGAAAATTCACAAAAACTTTTGGGCTACGGGTGTTTTTCGGTAAAGTGAAAGCTTTCTAATTAATTTTTTGATATTTTGGATCAAGCCTTAACAAAATAATCAAAATTTTAGAGTTTTAAAATAAGTTAATAAATAAAAAGAAGGCGCCAAAATTAAAATTGAAAAAAGGCAAAATAAAATTTTTTATAATATATATACTTTTTTTAAACAATAAATTCATTTTATCATTAAATTATGAATTTAAAACAAAGGTCATATATAAAAAAACAATTTATAAATTTAGTACATATACATAAAAATTAAAAACAAATAACAGGATAAAAATTAAATTTAAAAAAAACAAAAGTATATATTTTATGACATTGCCATATAGAACCATGAATAGCTATGCAATTACTTTGATGAATAGTCATCGTAATGGCTTGTTTGAAAGAGGACTTCATTGCGATCACCACTTATTTGGCTTAATTTTCTCACTAATAATGTGATAAATTTAAGGAATTACAAAAAATGCCAAGAGTTGACAGGTGTAATAAAAATTAAGTTAGCGATATCCAAATATTTGTTTATTTTCAAAATTTCTGCCGAAATCCCAAGCTACAGGAAGACCAGAAGACCTATTCGGCGGATATAATCGGGTCTTCTGTTGTTTAGGTATAAATGATTAAGCTCTAGAATATTCGGGATGTTCCGTTTAAGAACCTTAGAGATTAAATTATTAATGTTTGCATGACGTGGGAAGCGCCCTTTAGAATATCTACAATGCAAAGAATGGTGTCCTTTGGAACCGAATTGTAAAGAACAATTAAAATATAGAAAGAGTTTGGGATAGATGACAGCGATTCGTAACCCGATTTAGAATAGCTTGGCTGGGACATTGTTCTAATGAATCACTCGATAAGAGATCAACGGAGTGAGACACTAGAGATTAATTCTATGCTTTCTGAAGAGTGGATGTGGGTCTGCTAACGCCAGGTTGACAATTATAATTGAATTTTAATTTCTAAAAAAATTGGATCTAATATGCTAACGATGAATACATAAGCATAGCATAAGGTCATTTTTAATGAAATATCAAATAAAATAGTGAACCTGTTGGTAATAGAAGAGGCCCTCAATAGTCTCCAAAACCATTCTTCCTTCTGCCGATTGGCTCGACTAAATAGGTAAAGAGTTATCGCATCTGCGACTTTGGAATTTGTGGTCCTTAGCGGCACTTTCGTATTTTCTGTTCCTTCCTCCCTTTCCTTACTACTGGAATAATCAACATCTTCTAAAGTATTTATCTGTTCAGGCTCCGATAACATATCTAGTGCCTCTTTATCATTGCACTGTTTATTCTCTTCTTGATGGAATAGTTGTCCTAATCTAGCATTCTCACCGCCAATTTGACAGAATTTGACGTTTTTATGAGAGCTTTTGCCATCGTTAGACTCTGATCTGTTTGAAATCTCTGTGCGTACATGAGTAAGCAGTGGATTTACCGCAGAATTCACATGACAAGAATTGCTAACAACCTTGAATCGAGAGTTTATGGGTTCGGTAGAAAGAGAGGAAGACGTATATTTATTGAGGGCGTTGGGGGCGAGTCTTATGCATATAGGATATTTTTTGCTCCAGTAAACCTTTTTGGGCATGTCTAAGGAAAGGAATAATCGTAATATAATTTAAGCAGAAATAAAATTGATTTACCATAAGGCATGAGGTAAATGGAGCTTCCAGTTAAATCGTAAATCCTATGATTGACATATTGAATATTAAAAGAATTGACCTCCTTGCTATTCCACAAGTCCCGTTTAGATAAATTGTGCTATGGACAAATTTTTTAGCATTCATTCCTATCTTAATTTATAAAAAATTTACTTTGGGCGTCGAGAGCTTCAAGATACTAGCCTCTAATTTAAGCAGTACACTCCTCGTTTGTTGAACTCGGTAAGTTTCGAAGTTGTAAGAGAGGGGTAATTCGTTCATCCATACCTGGGATCAAATATTACTATATTAGAATGTTCTATTTGTATGAATTTTGGGTTTTAATAATTTATGTTAAAAAAAATACCCTAATATTTTATGCAGAGATCTGATGAAATACCATTTGCATGGCGCAGGCTCGGATTTTTCTAAAAAAAAATTTAGGTCGAGATTTTTATATTTTCAAGCCTGGCCCAGATTTTCATTTTAAAAATTTTTTGCCCGGATTTTTTTTAAAAAAAATTTCTGTTCGGGTGTATAAATCTTTTCAGCCTTGGTTTTTCAAAAAAAAAATATATATATTCGGCATTTTAGGATCGTTTTTAAGCGAATATGATATCCATATGTAATAACTTTTCAAATTATCTATCCTCCTTATTTGTTTTAAAACGAGTGAATTGAGTCACCACACTTTCTTTTCGACTGGTCGATGATAATTTACTTATTTCCTGTTTCTCTTGTAATAAATATATTCATTTATATAAGTACGTCATTTTGTGCTCCCTCCCTTATATTATACATAATTAACTGAATTTGGAATATTGATAAAGAATATAATGATACAATAAATTATTCCCTTGAAAAAAGTATAGGATATCTTGACCTTTTTAATTTGATTGAATATCATCTAAAATAATAATTAGTTGGATGATTAATTTGAATAATATTTTATGAGAAATATCTTCTAAGAAGCGAAAAAATGGAAATATGATAGCGATTTAAAATATTCAGCCCAGCCCGGGATTTTTTTTAAAAAAATTTTTAGAGCTGGCCCTGGTATTTTAATTATGTCATGCCCGTTTACCGGGCCGGGCCTTCAGGTCTCTGATTTTATGTATCGTATATTTTTATAATTTATTCCTAAATATAATATTAATGTTGTTAAAGTAATTAGTCATTCATATTTGGAGAAAAATCCAAGGTTCAGGAGGAATATTTGACTTGGTTAAATAAACATTCTAGAAAATCTGAAAGAAAATTTTTTTTAAAAATGTTTGAAAATATAAAAAACAGTATAAATACATGTGAAATGCTATTCGTTTATTGGGTTTTCAATATTAAGGGGAGCATCTTATAAGTAGTGAATTTTATAAAATATGTGATATAATACAAGTAGATGATAATTATATCAAATGATATCATAAATTTCAGAAGTAAAAGCGGCATGCAAATTATATGGAAAGCAGTATATTCCATAAGAAACAATCAGATTTAGGTCTAAAATTATGGAAGTGGCTTTGATCACTTTGCTTATTAAGAGAGTGGCATTTTACTAATTATTCCTAGTTCTACCTCTTCAGATTAGTAGATTTGGGTTAATAATCTTACTAAAACAAAAATCGATTGAAGATTTCGACAATATAATTGATTAAAAAATGTTAGAGAAAATATGAATCAGAACAAAACTCTGCCATAGAGAGCGAAATATTAGATATTGAATGGCAATGAATTTAAAAAATATAAATTAATCTTATAGATTTATTTTATTATTATAAACAAAATAAAGTTAATATTGTCTTAAAAAAACATTTATTTGAATTTAACCATATTTGACAGGTCAAATATAGGTTAATTGACCGAATAGTATTAGACAGGTCAAATAAACAACTCTAGAAAAACTATTGCAATTTGCAAGACTAAAAGTCGAAAGGCTGCTTGATGGTGTGAACAATTTAAGCGTTTGCGTTGTCTAAATTTAAATGCAGTATGTTTTTTAACGTATTAAATTGAAGCGTGATTTTTAAATTTTTTTATAATTTTATTAAGTTTGGAAAATAAACAATTATTAGCCTTATATTTATTTAGAAGGCGCAACAATAAATATATCGAGAGAGGGAAAACCTCTAAAATATTTATACAAAGAAATTTATTCTATGAGTATATTACATTAAAGGGAGATCTAACTTAAGGAGATTAACTTTCTCCTCAGTGGCGCAGCCTCCCAAACCTCCCATTTTTTATAACACTCAATTGCTTATCCTAGGCTATGTTAAAATTATTTTAAATATTTGCATATAACAAAATTTTAGAGAGTATTTTATTATATTTTATTTATTATTTATAAATAATTTAGCTTAAATAGCAATCCTATATTTAATCATGTATTTATTTTTATATTTAAAATAAATTTCAAAATGTACATATTTTACAGATTAAGAATTCAAGGAGAGTACTAGGCCAATTCAATATGACATTGGCGATAAGAGTATGAGGTGGCACAAGTATATGGGGTAAATGACAAGTGGGAAGCCATGAAGAAAGCCTGGATGAGGACAACTGAAGAAGTATATCGATGGACAGAAGGGTTGCCTAAACAAAGGAGACATGGTGGTGGAATCCTGAGGTAACAAAAGCCTGACGAAAAACGGAGGTATTTCAAAGAATGGTATAATAGTAAAGAAAATAGTGATAACGATATTTACAAGGTGGCGAAAAGAAATGCCAAGAAATTAATAGCGAAAGCGCAAGAAAAAGGAGTTTGCTAAAGAAATGGAATGCGGAAAGGAATAAGAATGGTCCGGATGGCAAAAAAGAGGTAGGATATGGTAGGTGTTTAATGTTTGATAAATATGGAAGGAAAAATGGTAATTTATAGTAGGGATATTAAGAACACCTGGATGATCTACGTTGAAGTACTTTAAAACGAAGAGAATGATTGGGATAATGATGTTAATTTGCAAAGGTAGAAGGTCCAGGGTGTAAATTTGGCAAGGACGAAATTAAGAAAGTCTTGAAAAAGATGAAAAAAGGCAAGTTAACGGGTTTAACGAGAGTGGTATTAGAAATGTTTTAAGGTTCTGATGACTTGGGAATTGAATGGTTAATGAATTTAGCCAATCTAATTGTCACAGATGGAACAATTCCCAAAGATTGGCGAAGAAGTATAATTATTCCAGTATACAGGGGGAAAAGTGATCCTTTAGATTGAGGATCTTATAGAGCTATTAAACTCTTGGAACATGCAATAAAAGTATTTGAGAGGGTGTTAGAGAGCTGATAAGGTAACGAACAAAAAAAAACTTAATGAAATGCAGTTTGGTTTTACAAGAAAGGGATGACAAATGCCATCTTTGTGGTGAGACAAATACAAGAGAAGTATCTTGCAAAGGAAAAGAAACTGTATTATGCTTTGTTGATTTGGAGAAGGCATTGATAGAGTGCCGCGCGAGGTTACTAGATGGACTTTTAGAAAATCTGGTGTGGAAGAATGGTTGGTTATGGCAGTGATGGCAATGTATGTGGGAGCACAAACTGCGGTATGGGCGGATGATGGAGATAGTGAAAGCTTTGAAGTGAATGTTGACTTCATCAAGGAACCGTGCTAAGTCCATTATAATTTATCTTAGTAATAAATATGGTGGCTAGAGAAATAAGTGAAGGACTTCCCTGGGAGCTATTATATGCTGATGATCTTGTGTTAATGGCAGCAGTGAGGAAGAATGGAGGGATAAAATTAATAGATGGCGGAAGTTAAGGACTTGAAAATGAATGCAGTAAAGACAAAGTAATTAGTAGGGAAAATCTAAAGATAAAGGTATCCGGCAAGAGGCCTTGTGGTGTATGTGGGAAAGGAGTTGCTATAAATTCAATCTAATTCACCAGATGCCAGAAATGTGTGCATAATAGATGTAGCGGGAAAAAAGTTTGATGTTAGCAAGAATGACCTTTTGTAGAACATGCATAAAAGGGGTACATAATAATGATAAAATAGAAAATAGTGGTCTGGATATTGGCAATGGGTTAACGCTGGGAAAAGTGGATAAGTTTTGTTATTTTGGGTGTTATGCAAAACGCAGATGGTGGTGTAGATTCTGCCGTTGTTGCAAGGATCAGACAAGCATGGAAGTTGTTCAGAAAGATGTCTTCTATTCTAACAAATAAAAAAATCTCTCTGAAATTAAAGGGGAAAGTTTACATAAGCTGTGTGAGGAGTTGTTTAGTTTATGGCGGCGAATGGGCTATGAAAGCTACACGCAAAGCCAAATAAGAAAGAACATAGATGAGGATGATTAGGGATGTGTGGGGTATCTCTGAGAGAGAAAAGCTAGCAAAGAAGTACGAGCAAGATTGAGTATAGAAATGATTGGAATGGTAATGCGAAGAAATAGACTAAGATGGCTTGAGCTCGTGGAATGTATGACAAAAGATGATTGGGTAAAGAGATGCACCTTGATGGAAGTAGGAGGTCGAGACCTAGAAGAAGGTCCAAGATTATGTGGACAAATGTGATAACGGCGGATATGAGAAACATGAATCTTAAAAAAATTAATGCTCCGTCAAAATGGAAAAGAGAGGGAAAACTGGTACCTGAGTATCCCTGAAAATCGCCATAAAAAAGGAGAAAAAGAAGAATTATTGTTGGCTCCATTAATTTTATGTATTCATATCATCTATAAGAAAGTTTGGAGACAGGAGCTCCTGTGGATTATTAATTTTTTTCAATTTCTTCTTTATGCATGATACATCCAATTCCAAGCCATAAAAATATAATTTATCATTATACATATATATTTACTACAAATTGTTTTAGTAACTTTATCATCCCATGACCTAAAAATTATAATAACAGACCCAATTCCAGGCCTATTTTAGGTGGGGACAAAAAAAAAATTTGCACCTGTCTTTCCACCTCCAAAAATATTCTCTTGTTTGCTGGAAAATATTTTTTATATATAAATTTTTTAAAAATAAGAACGCGAGCTACTTTTAATAGTTACTTTAACAGCATTGTTGTAATAAACGATTTTAAAAGTGATAATACCTTTGTAACTTGAATTATTACTTTCAATATTTTTAATTATTGAATCAATATTATCCCTTAAATATGAATATATTTATCTTTCAAGAGATAATCTATAAGCTATAGTCTTCGATTCAATAAAATACAAGAGGTCTTTGTTGCACCATAAACTACGATGTGCAATAAAGTTTCTTGGTCATTTATATTTAGCAATTGCAGAAATTTAATGAAACTATTATTTAAAAATATAAACTTTGCAAAACTTTCA